CCATAACTGTTTTGGCTAAAGCCAACGGGATTCGACTGTTGCGGTGAAGTCCCAATACACCAACATGCAAAATGAAAAGCAACGCCAACATCTCTTCTTCTCATAAGTCCATGCTTGGCAAGTTTTCATCCGAGCTTCTAACTCATTCCAATTAGGGCCTTCCCCACCTCTCACTCCAATCTCGGCCCAAAATTCGGTGTGATCTATTTCCAACTTGTCATTGGGATCAATTGGGTCACAGTTTAGCCCCATGATTTCAGCATACTCTAAGAGTGAAAATCTAACCGGGCGACCTCCAATAAGAGTCCAGAACTCATGATTCCTATCCACCTTCAGTTGGTTGCTCACAAAATACTGAACCGTCTTAGCACTCCATATGAACGAAGTCAATGCAAGCTTCAGTAGCACGCCAACTTGAGAATTATTCATGATGTCGTTGTAAATTTCATCCCCAAGGTGATCCCTGATCATCATGATGAACTCATGAAGCTTGCAGTTATGATGACAACTCTTCTTCAGCAAAGGAGATTTGCCTTCCGGGTACAATCTTTGGGGATAATCCTTTGAGCCGCTAGCTGAAGCCATGTCTGCAAACAAATAAAAACATTAAAATCTTACAAATCTACCACACATCAAAACAAATCTACCATGAACAAACACATGTCTACCAAACTCGACAACAACTATAGAATACCTACCACAAAACATTAACAAATCTACCAAAACGAACACAAATCTACCACAAATAAAAGAAAAGAAAATATACAACACAAATCTACCAAATAAATACATAAATCTACCACACACAAAGAGAGAACGCAAATATAGAATTCGTAAGTCTACCAAACGCTCACCACATATGAAAACAAATCTACCATGAACATGTCTACCAAACAAGAAAGCAGCTATAATATAAAATCTACCAAACCCGGGAGCAACTATAGGATATAACTCTACCAAATACGACCACAAGTCTACCACACATGATATAAATAAACCAACAATACATAAATCTACCAATACAATATCAACATTAACTCTACCAACAATACTACCACACAATGAAACGAAAACAAATCTACCTCACATAGAATAGAACTCCGTTAAACACGAATAAATCTCCGTTAAGCATATACAAATCGAACAACTGCAACCAACTGCTGAAAGTCTACCAAAACCGAACCACTACAAACAGAAATTGGTCGCCGGAAATCGTCTGGGCTCAGTAGAAACCGTTCTCGAAAGACGGAATCCGCCGATAATACTTCCCTGAAAAAAAAGCAAAGGGTTACGATTTCTGGGTAAAGGGTTTTCGACTACGAACGAAAAGATGGAGTTCTCTTCCAACGTTAGCGCGAAACCACCATTGAAACCCAAACACAACCGTCGCGAGTAAAACCCAAACACAACCGTCGCGAAAACCGAAGTCAAAAACTTGTTCGCGACGAGAAACTAAGCCAGACGTGAACACTTACGAGATGAGTGGCCGAAAAACTTTCGTCGCCGCCGAAATCGTCTCCTTCGTCGCAAAATCGCCTTTACAGTCGCCGCCGGAGGAGCTAGGGTTTCACTTTCTATTTTTATGTTTTTGTATTTTCGATTTTCGATTTTAAGAAATTCAAATGATTATGATTTCTTTTTTTTTTGTAAAATGTTTAATTTTAAGGTTTTTTAAAATAGAATGGCAATCTGATAATAATATTCATTATTTGGACAAAATGGTATAACACCAACTTTCTAAGGTTACTCTAGTAAGCTGATGGATATGTTAGGCTAAGTTTGTCAATACATTAACCTTAAGGGTTAGTCTGAGGAATTTTCACTTAAAAATATCACGCTGTAGTTCTCATCTTTCTCTATAGTATACATTTTACATTTCCTCACTTCTCTTTTAAATTTCGATTACAGAAAAAGACAATGGGTAGAAGAAATTAAATTAGGATCTTCGACAAACGAGAATGTCAGAGCCTCTGGGTTTGATAATAATCGGTGTCCTTGCAATCCTTGCGATTGTTCTTATGGCATTCTTCGTTATAAAGTACTGTTCTTGGCATTCCCCGTGCTAATTAGAAGTTTTTTGTGCTAATTAGAAGTTTATGTACTTTTTTTTATTCTTAGTAGAATTTTCTTCTACAAGTATTTTACTTTTATTTCTTCAAATAAATACATAGTAAATCACTATATAAAATGGGAGAACTGCAAAAATGGAGTTGGATTTCTCTCCAATGTATTCATCTATTTTTCAACTCCAAAAAGAATATTTTAAGTATATTCTTTCTTTTTATTTTATTGTTAATTACTAATAATGCACTCTATTTATAAAAATTATAAATGAACCCATTTATTTTTTCTCTTAAAACTTTTATAAATTATAATATTATTTTAAATTCAACCACTATAATAGAAAAATAACATTACACACCATTTAAAATAAGAAAACAAAGTACATTTTAATTTAAATATCATCATTTGAATATTTTTTCCCACAAATGATCAATTAAAGCATTTCGAAGTGAAAAATGAGCGTTTTTATCTTTGATTTCTCTGAATCGAGCAAGAAAATTTTGGAATCGAATACTTTCGTCCTCAGCTACTTCTACCTCTAGAGGTGGAGCTTCTCTTCCAAGTTCAATCGGTGCATCAAGATCAATCGGTGCATCAAGATCACGTTCATCCTCGACTATCATGTTATGTAGAATTATACATGTAATCATTATGTCATGTAACATATTCTTTTTCCAAAAACGAACTGGATCTTTCACAATAGCAAATCGCGATTGGAGAACTCCAAATGCACGTTCCACATCTTTCCTACATGCTTCCTGTCGCGTAGCAAAATATTTTTTCTTTGCACCCATTGGCTCGTGAATAGTTTGCACTATGGTAGACCATTTAGGATATATACCATCAGCCAAATAATAACCCATATATATTATATTATTTTCCTTGAATGGTATAATGAACAGGAGGAGCGATACCTTGAGCAAGATTAGAGAAAAGATGGGAAGATTCCAACACATTGATGTCATTATTAGTGTCCGGCATTCCGAAATAAGCATGCCATATCCATAGGTCATAATCTGCCACAGCTTCAAGAATTATCGTTAGAAGAAGGAAATAAGCAACTTTTGGAACAGTTAAAGAAGACAAGTGCCCAAAGACAATAACATTTGGATATTCAAAGTAAGAAATATGCCTTGAAAGAATTTAAGAAAGAAAACAAATTTTTGTTCCAAGACTTAAACTCGATACAAGATCCGAATCTTCGTGCTTATGTTCAGAGTGAACAAACACGGATTTTACAGAAAATGGCTGAACAACAATAATATCAACAAAATCCGCCTCAATCTGGTTCGTTTGGACAATATTTTAATGATTTTGGTGGATCTGGAAGCAGTTTACCGGATTTTTATTAATCAGTTGTTGTAATAAATTTATTTTATATTATTTGTAATTTCAGTATTTCTTATGTATTTTAATTTTATGTTATTTCTAGTTTCAGTTAATCTTCTTATATTTTTTATTTCTATTCTCAAATTTTAAATCTATCTATCTTTAATTTTAAATTAAATATATATAATATAAAGGATTAAATTATAAATAAAAAATCTAGTTTTAAGAATTAATGAAAAGTAAAGGACTATCTTGTAAATAAAAAAATTCACCTGCAAAATGGAGTTAAAAATGAGGTTATTCCATATTTGGAAGAAAAAATGGCATTCTTCCATTTTGCAGGTGAAAATGGGGTAGGGTTAGAGAAGAATTTCCTCCAAAATAGCATTTGGAAGAAGAAATGAAATAAGGTTGGAGATGTCCTTAGAACTTTGAGGTGAAACTAAGATTTTTTTTGTTTCTTTCTAGTTGTGTTGTTATATATTATGGTGTTCTATCTCTCTAAAACAGTATAGTATGTTTTGATTATTAATAACTTGGTTTGTTTTACATATAAATATAAGAGTTTGTGATCATGGATTATGTTAATCAAATTAACGATACTCTCATCATGTGTTGGAAAAGCTGTTGGAAAACTTCTGCCATGAATTCGATTCAAACTTGAAACAAAGTCATGGCACTTCTTGTATCTCAGTGTTTCGAATTTCTTTACCAGGGACCTCCTCTTGGTTAATCACCCTTGGAGCGATTAATTATCCTTTAAGGAAATTTTCTAATTTAAAATAAAACGTGGAGAGGAAGGATGGATAATACATATGACATATTGTTCATCATTTTTTTATATAGTGATTTACTATGTATTTGTTTGAAGAAATAAAAGTAAAATACTAGTAGAAGAAATGGGAACTATTGAACCAGATAAACATAATGTAGTTTATATTCCTGTCCTCTATGACATAAAATTTCCTTAATCTCAACAATTAACTTATTTTCATTTTGCTTTTTTTAGTTAATATTTTTTCTATAAAAACGTGGAGAGTAAGGATGGATCATGGATGATACATATTATATATGTATATATTTGTTTGAAGAAGTAAAAGTAAAATTTTAGTATAGAAATGGTATCTATTGAACCAAATAAATACATTGTAGTTATATTCCTTAATCTCAACAATTAACCATTTTTTCCCATTCTAGTTAAGGTTTTTTTCTATACTAATATATATATATATATATTCTTTTTCTATAGTATCGTTCAAATTTCGATTACAGAAGAAACACACAGGCAAGAGGAAGCTAAATTTAGATCTTTGAAAAAGAGAACGTCAGAGGCTATGGATTTGATATTAGTCGTTGTTGTTCCTTTACTTTTAATAATTGCCATTGCTGTTATGGGATGGTTTTTTATAAAGCATGGTCAAGAAGAGAAGCCAGATCCTTAATTATAAAGTTATTTACGTTTCTTTTTCTTGTTAATTAAGATTTATATTTTTTTTTCTTCTTCTAATTGTGTTTTTCTATATTATGGTGTATTGTGTTCTATCTCTCTAAAACAGTTTTCTGTATGTTTTGATATTTTCATTAATTAATAAATTGGTTTATTTTTATTTAGTTTGTGTTCATTCATTATCTATATCAAAAACCCTTCAACACGATTTTGTCAACATTAAAACCTAGAAAAAAATTTACATAGCCAGCAAAAAAAAATTGATACAAAGTTATACAAACCTATTTTATGAACTAAAGTTTTTTATTTAATTATGTAAACAAAATTGATTAAATACTAATTTTTTTAAAAAAAAAAAAGCATTACAAACCGGCCAAATTTACTTTAGTTTGATTTGAACATGATTAAAACTAGTCTAACATTGAAATTTTAATATGAATTATGAATATATATAGGTTATTCTAAATTATAATTTAGAATATATAAGTGTTTTTGTCTTAAAAAAAGAAGTGTTTGTCTATTTTGAATATGATTGTAGATTCAAATGTAACATGGATGACGATGTGGATTTTGTTTTGTTTGTTTATATTTTTAATTTGTTTGTTTTAAAAAAATTGATTAAAGATAAAATATAAGAAATGTGAAAAATATGATATAATCAATAGCTAATAAAATCATGACACATTTTCTATTGACAATCTTAACCAATTTAATTTTTATACAAAAAAGGTTCCTAAATTTTAAATTCTTAAGCCCCAAACTGGGCTTCTACCCCCAGAACTTGCTCCGCACTTAGATCTGCCCCTTCTGTCTCCTCGTCGCTAGAAGCATAAGCCACATCAAGCTTGTTGTATAAATCTTCATCTCCCTTGTCTTCTACCTTCTCCATCAGTTCCTGATAGAATGATTGCAGGATTCCAAGTTAGCAAACCATTAGTTACAAACTTCATTCTTTTGTTTGATCAATGAATGATTAAAAAAAAAAAATCAGACAAAAGCCAATATAAAAGTAGTTAGATCCATTACAATTTCAGCTCTCAGCTGTTCTGCCCTTGCATGTATAGCCGAAATGTGTTTTATAAGACCCTGTTGAATGCAAGTGGAATAATAATTAGCTAAACAAGTTCCAGATAAGAAAGACAATGATGGTATTTATATCAACAAACCTCGCGTCTTTGGAGCTCAATGGAACGCGCTAAAGCCTTCCGCTTTGTCAAAAGGTTCTTTGGCCTCAACATGGGAGGACGCTTGTAGTTTCTTCCTCTGTACACGATAATGGCATAACCTTTTGAGACCTTGTCAATAGAAACCAAGATACCGCCACTCTCGGCTTCAAGAGCTAATGCTACTTTCTTTACACCGTCAAAAGTTTTAGCCTTCACTATAATTTTGACTAGCTCTCTGTATTTCCAGTGTAAGTGCATGTTCTCCACCGTACCATCAAACACTCCTCGCCTACCTGAAGCAACATTTTCAAGTGTTCTTTTACAAGTCTAAATGTATGCAAAACACTAACACATCTGTTTTTGATGACTTACCTAGAAGTAAGAATGCCTTCATCTTTAAACCGAGCTTGCGGAACATAAATCTCTCTTCATCAGTTATGCTTTCTTGGCCTGCTCTCTGCTCTGCTGGCTTTAGACACTCTTCCACCTTAGCCAAACCACGTTCAGCTTTCAACAGCCTTCTCTTAGCCTAACGTGGAGGAAACCATCCGATTAATTTTAAGGAATAACTCGTATGCGAATCTAACTTCACAGGAAAGGAGCAAAGAAACAGGGGCTAAGTAAAGAACTCACAAAAGCAAGTTTCTTTTCCAGCTTCCTGACAAGATTTTCATGCCTCAATTTCTCAACCTCTTGTTTCACTTCCTCTGCATGATGATCATCATCTAGATTCTTTCCCCACTTACCAGTCGCGTCAAGAGTTTCATCAAGAGTACCAGCAGAAACAAGTTTTTTTGTAGGTTCAGTACTTGGGACAATAAAAGCCGATGAACCTCTTAACCGTGCTTGTTCTTCATCGTCTTGCGAAGTCCTTGCAAATCTTTCGTGCTCCACCAATGCATCAGCTACTTCTCGTGACAAAAAGTTTTTTCCTCTGTAGAAAACTAAGAAGTCTTTGTTCCTAGAGAGCATTATGCCTCCTGTCAGCTTCTGCAGTTACTTACCAAGAGCATGATATCAAATATTCATCTTCCATTGCAGATAAAAGACAAAAAGAGCATACATTTTTTAAACAGAACAAGAATTCTTATCACCTTGAGGTCTTCAGCCATTCTCTCACTGGTGGTCAATTGTACGCCACGTTTAAACGCAATCTTTGCAAGCATACTCTTTTCCCATAGCTTAACCATTGCTGTTGCCAAGCCTTGGAGCTGCCTACTTCGACCTGGAAATCAAAAAATACTCCTACTCTTCAAAGACTATATCAGGCTCTGAAAAAATCAAAAAAAAAAAAAAAAAAAAAAAATTATACCTAAAGCAAAGTGTGGAGGAAGAAATCTGGCAAGTCTTCTCAAAGCTGTTGCCTCCTTTGGTCCCAGAGATGATCTCACTCCATAAGGAAGTACCCTGAAAGGCGGTTCGTAACCAGGAATGGCGTCTGGAAGCAAATCAGCATCTATAGGTAATGGATTATCTCCAGTCCAGTCCATGAACCTAGGACCAAGACCATCTAACAGTTCATCAATTTCATCTTCATATTCTACTTCTGGTTGAGATGTCTGGTCTTTCTTTTCCCCACTAGTTGTCTCCTGGTCTAGCTGAGATAAATGCACTTGTTCATCATTATTAGCAACCATAGTTGTAGTTTCAGGTAAAGAAGAAGGTGATGTCTCCTCTCTTTTTTGGTTGTTCCATTTTCCTGCTGGAAGCTCGTAACTGACACCTCTGTACAAAGAAATGGAAGTCCCAGACCTCCAAATCACCAAACCACCAGTTTTTCTCTACCACAAGATAAAGGAAAAGACATTGACAAAATCTGACAAAAAGTTTGTGCTTATGCAGACGAAAGACTCTTATTCAGGGGCTCATGAGAAGCAAACCTCTAATATCTCATGCATCTTTCTCATGTTAAGCGCACTTGCTCCTTCAATCTTCAATCTCACAATCTCTGAGCTCTTCCACTTCTCCTTAATTGAATCCACTGCCACCTGATTCACACCTGCTCCTCGAATCTTCATCTTACTTGTTGTTCTAAACGTCAGGTTCCTCAACCTCCTTAGCTCCGGTTCGGGAAGAGTCATTTCTGCCAACGAGTATCTACTCTCTTTCTTCGTAGTCCACTCTGATTGGACACAATCTCCTTGCCCGACTATTACCTGACGC